GATGTCTTCTTTGAAAACTGCTTTATTTTTAAGTAAAATTACTTCTTTAGTTCATGAATTTTTGGCTACACAACTTTGACATATTTCGTTGAAAAATGAGGATAACGTGCGTCAAATAATCAATAGCGAGGCAACGAATTTAAGCACACTAAAATATAATGTGCTGCTGTCGCAATGTATCGTAGTCTATTGGCTAACCACTCATTCGTAGTTTTGTGCTGCGTGTACAGCTACATATCACCGACTTTATTGCGCATGCTGAACCTACGCATTTTTCGTATATCTTTTATTCTAGATTATTTCTCGATTAGTCCTTATTCGAGAATACGTTGAGAAATGGATCAATATACAAGAATGGACTACGTCGAAATGGTCTGATCGAGGTCAAACCTACTTGAATTGGTCAGGTCTTACCATCCTCGGCTACAATACTAGGTATTTCTCATTCCAATTAGACTATAAAAGTAATAAGCATTCAATTCTGCAAAACAAAAACACTACAGAGGTGCCGAAAGGTAGATTCGAACCATATTTTCAAAATGTGTCGCAACGAGCACCTCCTGTTACATTCTCATGTGTCGTTAAGTATGAGACATGCCATACATTTTGTGTTACTCTGCAAACTGCATTTGAAGAGCGTTTGGTTTTTCAGTAATAAAAATAAAAATAATAATGGTGATTGGAAATAAATTCAAGATTATGTAAGTTGACATATCTGTCAAAAACCACTTAATTATGGTTCTTTAAGTGATACGAATCATTTGAATGAACATGTGTCTATATTACAAATGATAAAACTATCAACTACAAGTGATGAAGGATTATATCAACAAAAATCTGAATCACTGTTTTCATCTCAATGTGTTCACAAAATGAAAATCAATTGCCTAAGTAATATAAAAGATTTGAACAGAACACCGTTAAATCATCTAGTCGTGACTGGGGTAGAGATTAGATTACATCTCTGAAGTTTTCAAATGTTAGAATATGGTTAAAAAAATGTTCGTAGAAAGAAATATAAATTCGTTAATCAATATAAAGACATATATGATAGACCTCTTCATTACAGGATTATATCTTTCTAACAAATTTAGACATAGGATGAATGAACAGTTAGTGATAGCAAACATTTGTCCGTATTCGATAATGTAATATAACGGGTGAACCAAAATATACTACAAGATGCAGCAAAAAAAGTTTCACAATTTACTGAGAAATGCACCTTTTATTTTAAAAATAGACCAAAAAACGAAGATATATAAATCGAAAGGGTAAGTATCCAAAAAGAATTATGATGTGATTAAGTGGTTCTAAAAAGAATCTCAAGTCTCCAATTATATTTGAATCTGGTGCAGCATTATCATATGAGAATTATATTGAAGCTATTCTTTGATATGTTCAATCGGAAAATAAATGGTCACTGAGCAACAATACTGTCTATCAATAAGACAACGCGATACTTCATACACATCAGGAAATATCGACATGGCGAGAAGAGTATTTCGTACATTTCATAGACAAACACAGATGAACAACAAATGATTCTGACCTCAGCGTTTTAGATGATGATGTATGGGATACCATCACTCATAATATGCAATAGGATAATGTTAAAAATCATGACTGTTTAATTGATGAACTAACAAAGGATAAAGATATGCATTTCTTTATAAATTGTAGAGCTTTTTTTTCAGTGTATATTATGGTATATTTTGATTTTTTTAATGAAACATATTAGACGATGAAAAAAATGGCATGGTCGTGTATCTTGACCCACCCGTTATATAGCAAGTGAAAAACAAATTAATTAAGCATTAGTTTATTTACGATGTTATATTGGATTATTTTAAATGCTAATTCATGTGTTCATCTTATCTAACTATGTATTTATTTAATTTTTTTCGACTACTACTGTATTTATTCAAAAGCTACTGTTTGTCATTACGATTCACGCCATCTTATTTCTGATTTCTCTGTGGGTAAACAATAGTAGTTATTGGTTAATGTTAAGTTTTATTTTTTCTACTAGTATTCATCAATATCAATGCTTGAAACGAGATGGAAATCAAAAAATCTTCCCTAGTTCGAACTCTAGTTACTCATATGAAATATCTTCTCATTTATTTTTTTAAATAAATTTTCAAATATTTTCTTGATATGATTTTGTACACAGATCGACTAAGTCAGTTTAATGACAAAAAAAAAATTAAATCTTCTATACTATCCGATCACATTTTCAAGCACATCAATAGTACAAAATAACGAAACAAATAGACAAAGATATTGTTAAAACCTCATAATAAACAACAAAAAATAATGTTTCATTGTTTTTTATTCCATAGAACATTAATGTAAAAGTTCTATTCTAATAAATATCATAAATACAATACTCACTGCATCGCCTAGCGGTGCCATTGACATTATTGTTGGAGAAGTGAGGGTAGTATTCGATATATGTGAAGAAGATTGTATACCATTAACATGTAGTTCATTACCATCATTACGTTGAATTAATGTTCGATTTATTGAACTTGATTTTCCTGATGTTGATTGATCGTTGTTCTAAAGTTAATAAACATAAAAGTAAAACTTTTCTTATTGATATTTGTTCAAACTAACTCGATCATCATGTTTAGATTTATGTTGTATTTGATTTGTATTCGTTATATTATCACCACCGGTTAAAGCTCGATGAATAATTCCAGCTTCATTAAAATCTGGATGTTTTGTATTAATATATGCTAATTCAATACCAACGAGATTTTCCACCATAAGATTTGTTTCTGGTAAACGACGACGTAATAAATGTGTAACAACATCAACGATTTTTTCATGTAAACGTGGAAAACGAATAAATTCTTGCTAAAAAAAGAAATTAAGTATGTATATAAGGCGCGTCCGATTCAAACTTTTCAAATGAATCCTATCTGTGACTTATTGATAGATTATTCGATAGAGCTTTGTAAGATAATTAAAAATATCTAGTCTTTAACTTTACTAGTACGCAAGTTTTCATTCTAAAATATTTAAAAAAAACTTCACGAATCTATTTTTATTTTCAAAAACGGTGATTTTCTCTGTTAAATGGGATAACTTAATGTTAAAATCCATTTTGAAAGCTTGAAACTTTGGTTTTTTTTCTTACTTGCAAAGGAAGTCCTCCAAATGATAAATCACTTTTGAATCGAAACTATGTGCATTATGTAGACCCAAATGAGTTATGAATACTCTGAAAAGAGTTCACATTCTTTACTTATTGCTGCAGAGATACTGCACTTTTACAATAGTTTTTAAATGAATGCTTTGGTCTCTCTCACATGGTTTCTGATTGGTTTTCGGAAGTGAGGGAAGCTAAAAATTTACAGAAAGTCTATAATTTTTTCGCAGAAAGTCGATATTTTTGCAAAAAGAAGTCTTCTTTCTACGAGAGGTTTGGCAGGAATAACATCGACTTTCTGCGAGAAATTTGGCAGAAACTGAGTCGACTTTCTGTGAGAAAATTTGGCAGAAATAGTCAACTTTCTGCGAGAAATTTACCAGAAATAATCAACTTTCTGCGAGAAATGTGGCAGAAAGCACCACCTTTGGTTTAATTTTATTCCAGCAAATGCAAAAGCTTTCTAGTGAACTACACTTTAAAATTGTCGCAGAAAGTGTTATAAAAAATTATGGCAGAAAGTCTGAAATTTGGGGGGGGGAGGGAAGCCCCTCCCTGCCCCCCCCCAATCGGGAACCCTGCTCCCTCAGAAACACCAGATAATAGTTTTTTGTAAAAATTTCAGGTCTTTTGCTTTACTTCTATCCTAGGATAGGAACATCAAACCCGCTCATTTATATGAGCGATGTAAAAGATACGCTATTATCATAGTTGTATCTTCGAATAGGAGTAGCAACAAGATCTGAAACATTCACTAAAAACATATTTTTGTCAAGGCTTGTCTCTACACAAATTTTCAAGTCAAAACTCGAAAATCAGTTTTTCTGGTATTCCAGAGGTAGGCCACAGTATTCATTTAAAAAATTCCATAAATGTGCAGTATCTCTACAGCAACTAACTAAGAATCAGAAGTCTTTTCAGAGGATTCATGACTCATTTTGTTCTATATAATGAGCATAGTCTCGACTCAAAAGCGATTTATCAGCAGAAAGACTTTCTTCCTTACGGTCTGTGGAGAGTCCAATTTTCTACTCCTATATTTCAATACTCCTTGTAGGTCGTGTTTCACAAATATAGATTCTTGGAGTTTGCCGAATATTTTTGAATGAAAACCTGCACTAATGAAATTAAAAGTCAGATATCCCTAATTAGCTTACAAAGCTCTATCGAATGATATCAAAACAAGCCAAAAATAAGATGGCCTGGGAACGTTGAATCAGATATGCCTTTATATTTTTCTAAAATAAATTAAATTACAAAAAAAAAGTCTTTACTTGAGCACCACAATGTTGAATAATTCTTTGTAATTCTTCATGTACTAATTCAACACAACGTAAACTTGGATCTTCTAAACGTTTTATTTGACGTTTAACAAGTAATTCAAATGATATTTCTGGAACAAATAAAGCAGGTTTTGAACCCTAGAATAATATAAAAAACAAATCGAATATTAATAATTTTAAATAAACAAAAATAAATAAATTGAAATTATACAGTAGCATTTCGTATTGCTGTAAGAATATCATATGTTGTTAAATTATCTAATGGTTTTATTGATTTAAGAGCACGTGCAAATGTTTCATGAAATATATAACAAATTCGTGCACCACCACATCTAAAAAAAATAACACATAAAAAAATCTATTCGTTTATATCTTAATACGAACAATTCTGAAACTTCAATATTTTTTGCTGTGCCTTCGATCGTTGCACAATAATTTGAAGCAAATTTTGTTATGATTTGAAGAAGTAATCGACCCTAAAAAAAATATTTTGCTTTTTTTTTAAATTCGATAAAATCAAATCAAATATACTTTATCTTCAATTGGTTCACCAAATGAATTAATAAGCGTTTGAAAATGAGATACCATTTGATTAATACGAGTTTTTAATGATGGTAAACAATCACGAATATGATACATGAGTAACTATAGAAAACAAAAGAGTATGAATTATTTTATATGAATAATTATTAAAATATACTCTATTTAATGTTTTAGCAAGAAATTGTGTTCCATTACGATTAGCAATAGATGGATAAGTCTTTTGAAGAAAAGCAGATTCATATCGTAATGCTTCATCAATTGACTAGAAAACAACCAAAAAAAAAAACAAATCAAAAGAATTTTTCATTATAAAAAAAACAAACAAACTTTTTTCTTATGAATATCTTCTTGGCTTCGATTAACAACACCAATAATACCTAACTTAACCGGTATAACTCGTCCACATAGAACATCATATGCATCTGTTCCGCGATCCATTAAATCAAGCTTTGTTAGAACAGCTAATGTTCTTTGTCCTATTAATCATAGAATAAAATTTATAAAAATAACTTTATATAAATGAGTTAATAAACGCTATGATTATCGAACTACTAGATAAGTCTATCGTTCTTGTTTATAGTTGGGTCTAATCGAATATTTCATAATTCTTGATTGCTTCTTCTCTTTCAGGTATAAAATCAGAAATCAACAGCATCAATGATGATTATTGAAATTGCTTTATTAGGTGTAAACTAGAGTTTTTTTTATCTTGGATATCAGATCTCGAAATGGATTGCTCGCTTCGAATTTTTGTTTTCAAGAAAGATTTCTCATGTAGGAAAATAGAAAAAAATCTGAGTTTCCGTCAAAATTTTTTCGTATGAATTTTGTACTTTGCAACTGATAGCAATTAGGAATCTTTATTATGCGAACGTGTTGCAAGTTTTATTTAGCCAATCAATAAATAAAAATAGAGTATCTATTTGGTTCAACGATATTTCTCATCCATACACAAGATCAAATGTACTATCAGCTGTATTAAGTGGCATGATTAACTATATACTGAAATTAACAATATAATTAAAATAGTAACCAATCTGACTCTTTGAAATTGATCA